GATGTTGGAAGAGAAGTGGAGGAGGCATGTCTGGGCGGAGAAAAGGCGAAAGCGCATGGGGCGGAAACCTTGGACTTGGAGGAAGGAAAGGAAACTGATCCTAGGGAAGTCCAAAGTTACCTGTTTACTGTACTGGATTCTCTTTCATTAGTATGATGTCTTCTTCCTCTTTTCTAGATTGCCGGCTCCCCATTAGAGTTCAACTTTTCGGACCATGAGTGTGGCATCCCGTTGGCGAGGTTTTCGCATCTCCCCATCATTGTCTGAATCGAACCCGCAATACCACACTGTTCTGTTAACTCTCGTTTTCATGTTCGAGCCCTTGGGGGTATTCCCAATGCCGGTCGTACATAGTAACAAATCTGGCGTTGGCTCCCCAAAGCAGTGAGATTCGCTCAACGTCTCCCTCTCCACATACCCCCTCGGCGGCGGCAGCGCCTTAGTCCTCGGCAGCGGGATATCAACATAATGCGGCACGCGTTGCTCGCTCCTCCTCGCCGGCGGGCCATACTCCTCCCCCCTCTCCCTCTCCCAGTACCTCTTCCCCGCGGGCTTCCGATCAAAAGTATCCAAGCTCGACTGCCTGCGCACCAACATCGGCGGCCTTCCCCCAAACCCCGGCGACGGGCTCCGGACCACCCGCCTCGACCTCGCCACCTCGGGGGGCGACACCGGCCTCCGTAGCCGCGGCGGCAGCGACCCCTCATCACTATCATCATACACGACCCTCCTCCGCTCCCTCGACCTCTCCCGCTCCCTCAACACGACCCCGCCCCTCCCATCCCCCCCCTCCAACTCCACCTCCTCATCCACACCCCTATACCTCCTCTCCCGCTCCCGATCCCGCTCCATAATCGGCGGCGCCGGCCCCACAGCACTCTCATCCCGCTCTCTAAACCCTTCCCGCACCTCCCTCTCCGCCAGCCGTTCCCACGGCGGCGGCGGCGGCAGGCGCGCGGTGGCGGAGAGGGGTGGTTCGTCGTCGCGGCGGCCGCGCCCGCTGCGCCGTGTGTAGACGTGTGGGCCGTCGTCGTCGGCGGATTCGAGACGCTCCCGCGCGTCGCTGAACCGGTCGAAGCGTGGGTGCTCGTAGCGGTCGCGGTCGCGGTCGCGCTCGGTTGTTCGGTAGGCCATCTTTTGGGGGGATGGGGGTGGGTGGATGGGGTTGGTGGCCGGGTTTGGTCTTGTCGGGGGTTGAGTAAAGGAGGGGTTGTTGGTTTGGGGTTGGGTTTTGGGTTTGGTTTTGGTGGGGCTCCGGTTTGAAGTGCAGTGCGGAGATTAGGAAAGAAGTCTGCCTCCCGTCGTTTGGATCCGTCCCGGTCGTTGTCGCTGGGATATCGGTGTCGCTCCGGGCGATGTCTCGATGTGGGACGAGGGTTGGTTGTTTTGTAGGCAGGTGTTCGGATGGATTTTATTTTCGGGTGCCGGAAAAGGGGAGGGGTTGCAGGAGAGTGCAGGGTTGCTCGATGGATCTTGAGTCCAAGATGTTGGTCCTATGACGACACAAAGTGACCGGGGCCCACCACGCAGAGAGGGAGCCAAGGCTCTCCAGCTGGCACGCGAATGGTCCGGGTGCCGCCCCCTGTTCGTTTCACGGCAGTGCAAAGGTGCGAAGACCTTGGAGACCCACTCGTTTTCTCAGAAAGCTTCGAACTTCTCGGGTTCAACAAGGACTGCATTGCATCCCTTGGAGTGATCGTCTGGGCCCAAAGCTCTTCTCGTGGCAGGCCCATATCCATTGAGTACGTTGAGGCATCAAATCGAAAGAAACAAAGTCTCAGACACAGAGGCTCCGGAAGTCGTCAATGCCGAGGAAGCCCACCGCTTGCTTGGATCATCGAAAATGCATACTACTCTTGGCCACCTCCATTAACTCTTGCTTTTAGGTAATTTGTTGCTACCCGCGTTTACCACCGTCGTTGTATTGGGGCCTTTGCCAAACAGAATCTCGGGCATCTCCGTCCCATCTATCTCAAAAGATAACCTTTGGTCGAAAACTCCAGTATCGCTGGAGCGTCCTCGGCTGTGCTCACTCTGCATGCACGATGACGTCCCTGCTCAGCAAATTTTGATCCAAAAAATGGCTGGATGGTCAAGCCCAAGTCGCCGTCTTCACACGCTTCAATTCACAAATGGGACGGAACAGCCAGGCCAAGTTAGTGAGACGGACAGCCGCGGTCTTTTGACCCCTATTTTGCCTCCCTAATACCATGCAGAACTTTTTGGCGTCCCGGATCTGGTGCACTATGCGAAAATATATGGAACCAAAGCGTCGCCTTTTCCCAATCAACTCCGAAATCATGTGGCCAAGTAAAAATGGAAATCCTCTCTTACAACCCAAAACCCTCCGCTGCCGGTCTATTGCACAACCTCGACCGGAACGCTGGTTGCTGGCTCGGCGGGGCGTTCGTGCAGTGTAAGGTGGAAGCTACGAATGATCGAATCGGCGTCGTCAATGGCAATCGGCCGCACATCAGCCATCGCCTTGATCTTGGCAGTGCTAGAGAACGTTGTCAGTATCACACCACATCCAACTCAAGGGGGGTCTACATACACCTCCTTGACTTGGTCGTCAGTCATCACCAGGCCGAGCTGTCCGACTCTGGTCTTGACGGCGTTCCAGCCCGTCAGACGCGAGGCGAAGTGGACGTAGCGGGTGAGCCCGAAATCGGCGGGGTTGAGAATCTCGTATGTGCTGGGGTTGTTGAGGATCGCCTTGGCGTGGATGCCGGCCTTGTGGGTGAAGGCGCAGAAACCGGTGATGGGGTTGTTGAAGGGAGTGTTGACTTCAACAGCCTCGGCAACCATATCCTCAATCTAGGAAGGGTAAGGGTCAGAGGGGCTCGAAATTATCATGTTAGATGCGACTCACCTCCTTGAGCATGTGGAGCTTGTACTTGCCCTTGACGTAGTCAGGGGCGCTCACGACCATGCGGGCAAGGAGACCACCAAGAGGTGTGATACCGTTGCGCTCGCCGACTGTAAATTGGTGAGAAATAACCCACTAAACGGTACAGGGTCTTGTGCACTTACTGCCGAGCACACTGGTGTCAATGTGGGTCGCACCAGTCCTCGAGCGCGCAGAAGCTAGGAAGCAGTCAGAAACTGGAAACTAAAAAAGGCGGAGAAACGACATACGCATTGGCGATACTGCAACCGGTGTCGTCGTGGAAGTGTGTTTCAATGTCACAAGCTGCGAGGGTAGTATGATCCTCCAATTTGGGAGCAGATCAACATACAAACACGCCCTGAGCGTCGGACGAGCTGTTGCACTGAGTCAGCGCTGAACTGGTTTGCTCAAGCCACAAGTACTACGTCGTAAACCTGTCTGGGAAAAGCACAGCCAACAGTGTCGGCGATACCAACCCGGTTCACGCCAACCTTGTCGACCGCCTTGTACAGGGATAGGAGGTCGACAAGGTCGGACCGGAAAGAGTCCTCGCTGGAGACTGCTGGGTGTTAGAACTCCGGGCATTCAAACCGCCACCAACCGACCTTGGGCGACGGCTGGATCTGGAGACTGGGTCTGACTCACAGCGCACCTCAAGCCCCTTAGACTTGATGTACTCGATCACCTCAATGGCCGTCTTCTCAATGTAGGCCATATCCTTGCCATGGCTGTGTTCCCGGAGGAAGCTGGAGGTGCCAATGACGACGTCCAGGCCGTCGACACCGGTCTCGACCGCGATCTTGGCATCGCGCATATCGCAGCGGACATCTTGTGGGTTTGTTAGTTGGTGCGCGTGGTGGGGTGCACCGCCGAAATCGGTGACTCACGTGTCAGAATCTTGGCCTATTGTGCGCCTTGTTAGCCGGAAAATCCTGTGTGTGTACGGGGGACGGAAGTCGTACCTTCAGGCCGAGCTTGCAGATGGCCTCGCAGTCCTTGCGCGATTGCTCGGATGCGGCCGGCGAGGTCAGCTCGATGTAGTCGACGCCGAATTCGTCGAGGGCTGTACACGGGTCGCGTGTTAGCGGGCGGGGGAATCGTCGAGCGGGGGAATTGCTGTTGTTGGAGTCATACCCTTGGCACTATTCACAAAACCGAATTAGCAAGTGGTTCCCCGTGGCCATTCACCGGTAGGGGGTCGGGAATACTGACATCTTGATCTTGGTCTCGGTGTCGAAATAGGCGTTGGCGAATTGCTCGCCCTCTAGTCAGGGGTCAGCGGGGAAAGCGAGGGGCAATCGTTCTCCGGTTACGGACCACGCAGAGTCGACTCGATAATCTTGAACTTGTTGACATTTGACAGGTAGTCGCCCACCGGCTGGTATGGGCTCGACCGGAACTGACCACCCTGTATTCGCAGGCATTAGCATCACGATGGCAGTCAGTAGCTAACACGGGGACGGGATGGGTGGCAGGTGGTAATTGCGTCGATAAGGTGATAAGGGGAGCTGATGTTGCAGGGCAGGGCAGGGGGAAAAAAACATACCCCATTTGCACCATTGGCGCTGCTCGAGCCGTTCGCTGCGTCTGTGCCGCACATTGTGACTGTTGTTCTGTCTGTCGAATGGGAAGCTTGTGTCTGGGTATCTTGTTGCAGGAGCAAACGCGAAATCTGGGGAAAGAAGAAGTCTAAAGATGCAAGGAAATGAGAAAGAAGCGGGCAGCTTTCCCGATGTCGCTTGAAATAGTCGATTTCCTCTGCCCCTCCCAGTGTGAGTGACTCAAGCAGAGATTTTTTTCGTCGGCACCTGTAACCGCAGCAGCTGCCCCGCAGTGGCACTCAACAGTGCCCTGGAGATCTCGAGACGGGACCAAAAACGACTGACTTGATTGGACGGGCTGTCTGGAAACGGCGATTTGCGTCATGTCACAGGCCGCGCCCTGCGGGCTTTACCCGTCCATGGATCTTTTTCAAGATCCATGAAACCTCGGGCTCCCCGTTGGTTGCATTGGCGCCCAGAACGTGGATCTGGCTCGGGTTCGTACCAGAGGGAAACTGTAAGAAAAAAAAAACCAAAAAAACAAAAGAGAAAACCAAACCTCTTGTTGGACTACGGCAGCGTTGTCCCCGATTTGTTGGCAGGTTGGAGGGCCCTGAATGTGTCACTACCAAATAGAAATGCGGACCGGCAGAAATGGGCAATTCTCTGCAGCTGCTCGTGTGCGCTAGGTTATTCTTCCTCCTATCGAAGAATGCCATTCCGCCCTTGTGCAGCTGTTGTGCTTCCGGTGCCGGTGCTAGGTACGAGGTAGTTACCGAATTGTGGTGTGAATGACTCCCAACATCCATGGAAACAACCTCTCCAGCAGGTCAAGTCCCATCCCACTCCATCCCACATGGACCAGCCCGATAGCCGCCCCGCACCGCCGATGTTGCCCCCCGAACCGCTTGTGGGCCCGTTGGCCTGTGCCTTTTACCTCCCCCTGCAATCCGGGGCCGAAGACCCCATTCTCCCATCCTCCGAGGTGCAACAAGAGAGGTCGTGGAATGAAGAGTCATATTGGAGTATGAGCCTTAAAGATTGAGGCATCTTTCACGGAGCAATAGCTAAAAGTTGAGCTCGGCATTACCGCAATCTTCATCTCTTAGCAACGATACAGTTTCAAGCCTAGAATGATGTAGCAGTCATGGGCAGCTAGTACCGACATCCACAAGTACGTAGGTACACTTGGTTTTGTGTTTTTCTTCTAGGTTGAACCTACGCCGTTTCGTCTAGGGGCCAGCTGTGCCAATCGTCGTACCAATTGGTCGACACGCCCGGCCTCTCGGGCCAAATGCGCCGGAAGATGGGCATATATGCCATTTTGCGGTAGTATCCCCGATCTTCCTCACACACGCAGCTCGGCCACTCGAGACGGTGTTGTTTGTCAACTTCCCGCGCGTGGATCATCTCCCGGGTATCGTCGCGTACGTCTCGCTCCAGCAGCCAACAACGGCTGAGAGCGGCTTCATAGGGACACAGAACCAGAGACGGCACTGTGGAGTTCCGGTGTGGGAAGGACCAGATCCCTTCAGGCTGAATCAGCATGCGGTCTAGTGCGAGTGCCGCGCTGTGGCCGTAGACGCTGGCTTTGGTGGTGCAAATGGTGCGGAAGATGGCCCGCGCGAGCGTCTCGTCGACGGCCGTGTTGATGAACGCGTCGCGGATATGGCCGTTGCGGTACGGGTACAAGCCGCCGGTCAGATGCTACCTCTCGAACTCGTCAAAGGACGGGTCGATTGTAGTGTCGAAAGCCAGAGCCCTCGTACCAAACTGGTCTCGTTGTTCGTGAGAAGGCGCTATCGGAAACCACGAGACAGGTGACGCATCGAGGGTGAGGACAAGGCGGCGGAGCTTCGCGAAGCGGCCGACAGCTTTGTACAGAGCAACCTCGGTGGCCCTGTCTCGAGAACGGCGGATGTCCAGAGCCAAAGTCTCAATGCGTGGGCAACAGGCCGCCAGTTCAAGGATGGCTGCTTCCTCTAGGCTGTGCCCTAGCATGTCCCGTGTCCGCAGCCACAGCTCCCGTAGCCGATGGGGTAATGCCGCCGCAAGAGAAAGGTTTGGTGGCCATGAAATAATCTTTAGGCTGGCGAGTTGGGGTAGACCGTGTATGAAATGTTTAACGTCGTCGTAGTACGCTTGTTCTTGGTCCTTGGCACAAGTAAACAGCAACGTTGTCAAACACGGAAAGTTCTTGGCCGGCAAGAGACTTCCAAGCGCTTCATGCCCGACGAAGCGTCTTGGCCTCAAGGCGCGCAGGGAGGACAAATTATTTGCCGCCCACCTGTCCGCAACCTCCTTCTCTAAGGAAGTGGGAGCAGGGCAATCGAGTCCCAGCTCGAGAGATTTGAGGGGGGGGCGGGCATGCAGGTTGAGTCCGCCCCAACGTTGGTAAAGCCCTTCCATGGAGGGCGGGGCGGTAGCGGGTTGTCGTCCATCTCATAGGCAGGCTCGGGTTGGAAAAACAAGTGTACTTCTTTTAGGTTTGGTGCCAGACCTTTCACCATGCTATCAACGGCCTCGGCATGGTAATCGGGCTCGGGCTCACTGTAGTCGTCGTGGTCAAAACCATCCATGCCCCAGTACCACATCCAGATGCTATAGAGGCACGGCGCTGTCACAAGAGCCAGCTCGTCAGGGTCAGTTTCCGGAAGACGTAGGCTGCGCAGCCTAAAACTGAAGACGTGGAGCCGGCAGCGTGGCCGATATTGACGGAGCGCCTGGAGAAGGCAGGGTGGCACCCGGTGGCGATTCGCGTATAATACGTCACCCAGACCCGGCAATATCTGTACAAGGCGGACCAGCGGTTGCCAGGCGGCGTCCGTGAGGGTGTCCTCTTCAGGGGGCATATCAAGGTCGGTTGGGACGAGGGCAGAGCGCGGCTCAAGGCCTAGTAGCCTGTCCTTATTGCCGTCGACAATCTCGGATAAGCTCAAGGGGAGGCCAAAGGACCAAGTCCGGGTGTCGCCGTCGTCGGCGGAGATGACAGCACGCGTGCTGTAATACCTGCCCCAGCGGGGGCCCGTAACCAGCAGCGTGCGGACATGGGAGACTGACGCATTTCGCTCCAAGATGCGGATACATTCGTCGACGCCCAGTTCTAACTCGCTCGGGTTGTCGGGGGAGAATCGGATGGTGTGAAAAAACAGCCTGTTGGCGACAGAATGGCAGCGCTTGCTGGCAAGTGCGAAGGATAGGAGGCTGGGGCGGTGCGAAAGCTCGACATAGTCGCAAACTAGAGCCAGAATCTCTACTGGAATAATATCCAGTGGTGAAGTAGTCATTGGTCATTGTTAAGGAATAAAAAAAAAAAAAAAAAAAAAAAAAGGAAGTGTAGCGGATGCGCGGATGCGGGAGGGGGAATAAAAAGAGTTATACGCGTGTTCAAACGCGAGTGGTTTGCGTCCCTACATCGGATGGGATCCTAGAATCCTAGAACCTAACACTTACTTCCATCGTGAATGCGTGTGACACGTTCTGAAAGTATCGATGTTGAGAACGAAGACACTTCCCAGTCTCTGTCGCCGGTAGATACGAAGTGGCGAGAGCAGGTGACGAGACAGGTTCGATGAGTCAGCAGCCCGAGTCTCTTGCGGCCCTGTCTGGCTCTGGTCAGCCCTGCACCCCGCTCTGTCCGCCAAGCCCGCCCACACCCAGTGGAGAGCGGTTGGCCAGGCCCCCATGCTCCGGTACACTCTTCCGAGTAGGCACTGACCAACGCAACACCCAACGTTCCACTGCAGCCCGATGCCGCTTCGGCTACTTTAACCACCAGCTTGGTGTGCTGTCAGGTGATGTTTTATTGATGTATTGTCGTGTCTAGACCGAGCCTAGCTCGACAACAGCGCATCTTGAATAACGGTGGTCTGACGAGACCTTGTCAGGTCCAGAGTCTCGAGGCAGCTATAAATTAAGCATGGGATCCCTGCCACAGCCCCCAGATCGAAGGCGGCCGTCAGCGTAAGTCATCAGACGATCGATTACCTTGGTAACTGCCCGCGTTTTGCCTCCAAAACAACTCTTCTCTCACCTACATCCGATATCCTCATCACGCATACTACACCTTAACCTTCAAACACCCGCTTCCTTCTCCCACACATCTTCAAATTTGTCAATTTTATTAAATTCATCTATAAAACATGTGCATCGCTCTCCTTACAACGGCGCACCCCGATTACGCCCTGGTGGCGATCGACAACCGGGACGAGTATATCCTCCGCCCAACAAGTCGGCCGCATTGGTGGACAAGCAAAGCCGACTCGCACGCCACAAACGGGTCGGCAAACGGCGTCAACGAGTCGTCCACAAAAGCGACGACCAACGAGATCGAGGCCCTTTCCAGCCTTGACCTCCAAAGACCCGAGCGCGGGACGTGGATGGGCATCACCAAGGGTGGCAACTTCGCGGTGCTAACCAACTACCGCGAGACCGACACCGGCGACGCCAGCCATCCCGTCAGTGGCACGCGGAGCCGCGGCGCCATGGTGACGGCATGGCTAACAGCTGATCCGGCCGAGTCAACGGAGCAGTTCGTGGATCGCATCTTGAGCGACGGCGGGGCTCAGGGCGTTGGTGGTTTCTCGTTGGTCTGCGGAAAGCTGCGCAAGGTGGCGGGCGAGAAGAACATCGACCCCTTGGCGATCATCTCGAACCGCTGCGATGACGCCAGCCAGGTTCCCCGGATATGCGAGGAGCGGGGATCGGTCCACGGGCTCAGCAACGCCATCTTTCTCGACCAGAGCGACGAGGACAAGGACACGCTCTGGCCCAAGATCCGCGACGGCAGGGAGTTGCTGAGCCGCGCCGTGGCCGCCGGCGGCAGCGAGGAGGAACTCGTCGCTTCGCTCTTCCAGATCCTCGACACGGACAACTTCCCCGGCGATCACGCCCTCGACCTAGAAGAGGTTATCCCGCTCCTCAAGCACTCCATCTTCATCCCGGCCCTCGGCAACACAAACCACCAGCAAGAGATGTGCGAGGCGCAAGAATACGGCTACGCAGAGATGAATGGACGCCACCCACCTGCCGCCCAGACCATCAAGCTCCCCACCCGCCCGGAGCAGCCGAACGGGTTCCATGCCGGCCTCTACGGCACCCAGCGGCAGACTGTTATTCTCGTCGACTGGGAAGGGAACGTGACCTACATCGAGCGTGCCTTGTGGGACTGCAACGGCCATGCAATACCGAGAGGGAAAGGTGACGAGATCTTCAAGTTCAAGATCGAGGGCTGGGAACAGAGGGACGTCTTGGCCAACTAGCGGTTACCTGTTCAGCGCTGCTGCTGCCGATTTTACGATTTCCACGCGAAGGCGGTATTTCTTTTTGGGTTAGGAGGGGCCGGTTGGGAACAGCGTTGGGATTGGAGTACTTGTTCCAGGTGTTCGGGGGGTCACCGGTTTGGATGACTTTGTTGGAAACTCCTGGTGTACGGTCGGTTGGTGGGCTTTGAAAAGGAGCATTTTAGCGATTATCATTAGAGCCATATTCCCCCTAGGTTTAATGTTTATAGCGAGAGCGATCGCTTGTCAGAAAAATAGGCATGTTGTTCGTGGATCGGCCAGGTAGTGGTGCCACTTCCTTCTGCTGTTCTGCCCCGGCCACCACTGCCCATCGGTGCGCTTCTTTTCTCGAGGAGTTAGGTGGTTTTTTCCACCCCAGGTCCTTCCCTCACTCTTCCCCACCAACCACCACCTACTTTATTCTGGTTGTTGATATCGCGTTCTCCCCACCACTCAGGTCTTTCCCCTCATGTTTGTTTCAGCGACCATTCAGCGCTACAGCCCAGCGCTCTGTTATTGTTGTTATCTTGGGAAGGTACGTATTCGTCACCACCTTGGAGCGCAAACTCGGCCATCAGCAGATTCGACTTGACTTCGAACCACCCGCGACCAAGTTCGTTGACCGACTCTAAGCACGACATCAAGTACTCGTTAATAGGCTCCCCAAAGTCTGCTTTGGTCTTCATATGCTTTTACCTGTATATTAAGTTCCATGCTAACCTACCATGACCAGAACATTGCCGTTCAGCGTCCGGAGTGCCGAGAGGAGCTCCCAGTCCGAGCCAAGGTCGAGCGATTCGTGCTCTGATCGTGACGACCGGTCTACGAAGTCCCGGTACCAAGGTCTAGGGAGCTTTATTGGCTCGAAGTACTCGGCAACAGCGCATAGCGTACGACTACTTGGGGCCGGAGTCGACTACGCTGCATCAAGTACATGCGTCGCTCGAGAAATAAATCCCTCTGTTTCATTCCGCAGTACGTGTGTCCCTAACTGCCCGGATCTACCAGCTGGTGGGCGCTTCTCACTCATGTATACGCAGGGCTGCTTACCCAGAGCTGCGGACCTATTGCCAACAACATCTCGACGAGTATTGAAAGAGCCACGAACGTTTTAGATTCACCACACATCGAGCAAAAGACCATTTCGGCTGCGTGGCGTGCAACTTCCAACCAAACCCCGAAAAAAGACAGGCCCGCCGCTGTTTCGCAAATAAATGTTGCCGGCCCTCGCTACAGTTTATCTGCTCTCTTTAGCCAGCTCTTGTGGAGCTCGTTTGGGCTTGTGAGGGTCATTCTCAACTCGACACTGAGGCTCTTCCTGTGCTCGATCACACTGAACTGGTTCATCTTCACCGAAGTCTTCCAGCCCTGGCACCCATTTGCTGGGGAAGTCCCCAGAGTGGTCATTCTCGGCGGGGCCGTTATCTTGCTCAAGGCGTTATCCATACTTGGCTGGATCGTTGGGTTCTGTCCGCGTGAAGGATGGCCAATGCCACAAGAAAGCGAGCTGGCTGGGACCCAAGCCAGAAAGGCTCCTGGGCCCGAAGGCATGGCTCCGCGGGCGAGAACAAGCTCGGCGGGAAACCATTGATGGCCAACAACAGGGCCATCAGCAACCACCCCCGGCCCCTCTATGCCGACCATTACCCCAGCTCTTCATCTTTCCTTGGTGATACTAGCAACGACGAGGGGCAGATATTTGAAGCAAACCCAAGGGGTATTAAAACATTGCAACTTGGAGTAGGAATCCCAAAATCTCGGACATTCAGCGTCATTTCCAGCCTTACTCAGTCCTTATCCCACGGCACTATTGTCCGTCAGGGGGTCAGTCGAAACGTTAGCCGCGAGCCTCACGACCAAACTAGCAACCACCGGCTCGTTACCCAACATACTCTGAGCCCCAAAGCACGACAAGCTTCAACTTACCAAGCACCAGCAACGCCAACCCTGCCTCCCGGTCAGTCCAACAACATTGAAGCAGTCTCAACGGCCATGCCACCGCAGTACTGGGCCGGCCGCTTTATGGCATTGCACGACCGTTTTCACAATGAGCTACTCGAACCATACCACCTAACCCGGCTCTGCGAAGCGCAGGCGGCTCATCCACTCGCCGATTTCACACGCCCGGCGTCGGCCGCAACCCAGAACAACCCGTCAACATCGGCCTATTCCATCCCACGATCGACGGCCAAAAGCCAGACCAGTCACCCGCGACAGCCAAGCAGCAGCCACAGCCGCATCCCCCAGTCCGCTACGAGCGGTGCCATCCTGCAGAGCACGTCCTACAACTTGCAGCCCGATCCGTTGTCCAATCTCCACGCGACATCAGCATCCTCTTCGGTCCGCAAACTTACCACCACTACAACCACAGCATCATACCGCCGCCGAAACCCCCAACATCACCACCACCCCCTCCCAACAACAGACGAAAACTCCATCCCCGAACACCCCCCCACGGGCAACACAACCACAACAACCATCCCCAAAACCAACAAAACCCCACCCCCCACCCACCAGAATCCTAACCAAAACCGCGTCCTAACAACGCACCTCGCCGACGACGAAGCCTCCCGCGTGCGCCGCGTGCTGCTGCGGCTGGAATACATGTGTGAGACAGATGCCGCACGCCTGTCGCTGCGCCAGTGGCGGGTGGCGTATGCGCGGCGGACGGGGAGGGGTGAGTTCTTGCCCTTGTGTCACTCCGATGGGGGTGGTCGTGTTGTGAGTGGTGGTGTGGGGTCGGAGAAAGGGGTGCCGGTGGGGATGGGCTTGGTCGTAGGCGCAGGGGTGAAGTCGGGGGTGCATATAGATGAGCGGACGAGGGGGAGGAGTTGATAACTAATATGAGTGCTGGTGGGTGAGGGCCGGTGAGGAGATCAGTGGCAGGGGTTCATCTCTGTGCCAACGAAACACAGGTACAAACGGGCAGGGTGGCCGGCGAAAGGCGAGCGGCTATCTGATTTGACCGCGCGGGTGAGGGGCAGCGAGCATGACGGGGCGCGTGCTACTACTATTACCGGGGGCCACGGGCATGCTCATGCTCATACCCCTAGCCATGGGCATGGCCACGAGTTTGGCAGGCGTGGGAGGGAGATGGTGAGAAGGCTGAAGCGGAGCCTGGTCGGCGGTGGCGGTGCGGATAAACCAGGTGACGGGGAGCGGGAGATGGTGATCAGGACTGGCCACGGCAGCGGACCAAGTCGTACAAATGGGGAGCCTGGGGAGGGGTACATGGCGGACTTGGAGAGTTTGGCGATTGACGATAAGGAGAAGGGGAGGAAGGGCAGACGGAAGTATCAGCTTCTTCTGATAGCGCTTGTTTAGCTGGGCCTTTGGTTGTTTGGCGTGTTGGTCAGGTTATTTGTCTACTTCGGATGGCTGATGGATTGCATTGCCGAATTCCGGAGTTAGGTTTCGTACGTACAAAGGAGAGAGCCCTGGGACCCGAGGCGTGTTTAACTAGTACATTCTACGGTTGGTGAACCCGGTGTATCTTGGTAGTTAAACCATAGGGTAGTCCAGGCACGGTTACTGCTGTGATCAAGCGGAATAGGATTGTTACATTAGTCGCACCCGGCCTGTCATAGGCAACCAGGCTGACCGCAATATTACATTGGCAAGCCCCAGACAGCCCGTTCATCAACACATGATCTCCTATGTTACCGAAAGGTCAAAACCAACCATTTTTCAACGCCGACAACTCCACCTAATGCAGTAATTCCAACGCCCAGCCGTTCCTGGTGTCCCCCCACCCAATCACTCGGCCTTCTTCCGGCTCTTAAGGTAGTCCCTCAGCTGCTCAATCTTGCTGGCATAAAACATCCTCTTCTTGTCGCTCCGCCATACCAACACACCAACCTCGTCGGCGTAGCTGCTCAGGGAGACATACTCTTCGAGCGAGTCAAAGTCCTTGAACAGGAAACCGGCCGACGTGCGCATACGCTCGTTCTCGAGCTGCCACAGCCGGATCTGGTCCACCACGGTCGGCGGCAGCACGGGCCGGCCGGTGGCCGCGGCGGCGCGCACCATCTGGTCGTGGGCGTGCGACGCCAGGTAGCTGATGATCTGGTCGGCCGTGATGCCGAACCCGATGGCGCGGCGGATCGAATCACGCGTCAGGCGGCCCGTGGCCATACCGGCGAACCGCATGTTGAGCTGCGTGAAGAGGCCCAGGACGGCAATCTGGAGGGGTGACGAGGTGTAGGCGTATAGACGGTAGTTCGTCTCGATAATGACGGAGCCCTTGCTGGCGGCCGAGGTCTCCGGGGTTGTCCCCAGGCTGGAGGTGTCGCCGGGGTTGTTCGCCGTCGCGGCGTTGAAGCCGGACGAGACGGAGCGGAGGGACGAGGCGGAGCTGGTCAGGGTGGTGGCCAGGCGGGTGGGGAAGTACTGTCGCGTGTCTTCGCGCGGGATAAAAATCAAGCCAAAGTCGACGAGGTGGGGAAGCATATTGCGGCGGGTCTCGGTGAGAGCGCCTGTATTATAGGCGCGCCCAAGCTCGAGTGACGCCAGCATGAAAAGGAACGACAACATGTCGATACTGTCGGTGTTCGCTGCCCCTTTGGCCTCTCCTTTGGCGCGGTCGGCCGCTTCAAGCCAGAGGAGGAGGAGCGTCCAAACCTGAGCGTTCGCTTCCTGGAGTAGAAAGGTGAAACCGGCCTGTGTAATCCCAACGCCCGCCTGGGTGTCATGCCTGCGCTCGACCAGCCTGCCGATCAGCAGAAGCTCCTTCACACTAGTCTTGGGGCCACCGCCCGAAACACCGCCTCCTCCTTCGCTTTGCGCCGGCACACTATTTACTACGTAGTGCAAGATATCCTCCCATTTCTTTCGGGCGTAACCATCGAGGTGGGCGATGTCGATCCGGGGGGCGACCGGCAGGGTACTCGGCACGCCGAAGCTGTTGTGGGAACCGCCTCCCTCGAGGGCCAGGCGCAGACTGTTTTTGAAATTAGTCGTGAGCTGCATCTCCTGCGGCTTGTCCTTCCCGGGCGGGGTAATTTGGATGATATGCAGCGATCGGAGAATCGAGAGGGCGCGGTCGCGCTGCATCTTGCCCTCGGCGCGTACCCAGACATCGAGTTCGGCGAGGAGCAGGGGCGATGGCATGTAGAGAAGAGCCTGGACAAAGACCTTGGCTAGGGGAGGTAGCATGCGGCGGAAGATGGCAAAGGCGGTCGACGGCTGCTGGTAGAGCTTGCGGAAGGTCGTCCCTGGCAACTTCTCCAGGTACTCGGAGAGCTGGTACGACTGTTGGCCGCCCGACATTTTGGCGATTGCTTGCGTGACGCAGCAGAGTCAGAGATGTACTATCGCATTATCGATGTCGTCGTAGTAGCCCACGCTCGAGGGGTCGTGATGCGGTAGCGCGATAATGGGATGGGTTGTCTTTGTTGACGATGGAGGGTTGAAGTTTGAGGTTTGGGTCCGGTCTTAGCCTCGCGGAAACCTTCTCAGGTTTCACGGCACCAAGCGTGGCGGGAGGTGGAGCCCTGCAGCGAAACGGCGCTGCTGACAGGGCCAAGGCGGGGCCAATCGGGCAATTGAATGCCGGTTCAGGGACGGGAACGTCACAGTGGGGGGCTCGGCTTGCTGAGGGATTCGGCTCAGATGAACGAACCACCGAGGAGCTGCTTCTTTCAACCGTCAATTCCGTACCGAACAACACGCAGTATCAAGATGGCAACAAGTGCAGGCACCAAACTAAAGCCCCTGAGGTTCGTCCGAACGGTATGTGTTATGTTTTTCGAGGTTAATGTAGCAATAAAAAGGGTGTAATTTATTGACCATATTTATAGGTCTTGAACTCATTCATGGCCGACTCGGGGCTTGAGCCGCGGTAAACAATTACCCCTAATCCGGGAACATGGCACGCAACCCCTGGGTAGAACTGACCACGGCCATAAATCCAGACTACTAGGGAAACAAGTAAGAGACCACACCCCATCCCAAGTACAACCCCCAAGCTCACCACACCCAGCTCCGTATCTCCAACGCCACCGAAGGCAGCGTAGACTTTGAACTACACATCACAAAAGACCACACGGTGTGTCCAACCTCCCTTTCGACCAAACCCTCCCTAGCAACCCTCTAACACACTCCCAGAACCGTCTCAACATCATCCACGGCGGCACCATCGCCAGCTTAGTCGATCTCGGAGGCTCACTGGCGGTGGCCTCAAGGGGGTACTACATGACTGGTGTCTCGACCGACCTAAACGGTGAGTGTGCCCACATCCACTCACTCATCCACCTACCCAACCCACCCTCCCTCCTCTCTCCCCCTCTTCAAAACCGCCACTAACACCCCAACCCCCCTCCCTCCCAGTCACCTACCTCAGCAGCGGCGGCAAAATAGGCGACAAACTACACGGCACCGCCGAGTGCGACTGGAGTAAGCAATCCACACACCCCCCTTTCATCCCCCCTCCCCTCACCCTGCTCCATCCCCCCACCCACCGCTGTATCCATATCAACTAACACCCCTCCCCCCCCCTCCCCCACACAGTCGGCAAAACCCTCGCCTACACGCGCGTAACCTTCTGGGACTCGCAGCGAAACATGGTTGCCCGGGGCAGCCACACAAAGTGGGGCCCCCTCCCCCTATCCGAGCTAGAGCCAGAGCCGGTGCCCAAATCTACGTCTACGTCTACGACGGGGTGACAACATATGAAGCCGGGTCGTTTCCCCCTTTGCTAACACCGCTCAAGGTTCGTTGCGAAAGCCGTGGCCGCCAGCACGCCGTTTGTGGCCCCCGAGGGAGCGCTGATTGATGAGGAGGGGGAGCCTTGAGTGTTTTCGGGTTAGTGCAACCGAGGGGTTGGTCGGTGTGTGGTGGTTGTTTACATACCCTTGACTTAGCGCCATCACCGGGAGCCAAGCAGTCCAGCGGCACATGGAGCTCACTCAATAAAAGCAACTGTGGAAATACACAGAAGAGACAACATTGATTTGAGGGACGGGCTGAGCCGCCGCCGCATTGCAGTAATGTGTTATCTTCCTCCTTTCCTGCGTCCTCATCTCCAGACCACATTCAAGGATGTTTGCCCCCCTTATAGCTGCAGCTCATGGCGTCTCCGCCCAGCTTCTCGCACTCAATCACCGGGTCCCCGACCAACCCCTCCTTGATCCCATCCATCTTGGCCCCCTCCATGCCACCCCCGATGCCCAAGTCGGTAGAAAACATGGCACCGGTAAACGCGACGCTGCCAAAGTCCACCAAGGGCACGCCGTCCGTGTCCCAAAAGTCCTCGACGATCCACTCGGCGTTGAAGCCGCACATCAGCGGTGCCTGGTCGTTCAGCGTCGCTATGTCCGTCTGGCCCGTGTTGTGGTTAGTGATGGCAAAGGTCGCCGAGCTGAGCGAGGTGGCCGAGACGTTCAGGGTGATGGAGTCGCCGGCGCTGATGGAGAAGTCGGTGAGGTAGGTGGACCGGCTGGGGTACCATTCGAACCTGCCCCATGCATAATTACTATCAGCCGGCGTAGTCTTTAAGGCGGATGAGAGAAGAAGGGGGCGGATAAAAACGGCTGCTTACCATGCCCAGTACGCCGGGTCGCTGTGATTCATGTACATGTCGACGCCCACCTGGAGGATGGCGTTGGGGCAGGCGTGTTCGCCGTCGATGCCCACCCAGGCCGAAACGGCGTGTAGCACGTCGCTTTGGGCGCCGGGTGGGAGGCGGATGGAGGGGACGTGGATGGTCGCCGTCACGGACCGGTAGCCGATGCCCGTGAGGATGGCGCCCGCCCAGTTCTTGCTGTAGGTTACCCCGGGCAGGTCATCGGGGGCGGCCTGTGAGGAGACGCCATTGAGGCGGTCGGTGAGGCGCGAGCGGCGTACGGCGGGGAGGGAGGGTTTGTTAGATGGTCCAGTGAAGGAAGAAATGGCGGCAGCTGAGCCCAAGAGGGCAGTATGTAGGATTGCGGTGAGCTTCATTGTGAGTGTTGTGATTGTTGAGTTTGGGGAGATTTAGTAGGCTCGAAGTGCAGGGAGAGGGAATGGTTTCACACCTCCGACCAGGTACCCACCAACTTTTCTGTGTCCTTTTTTTGCCTTTTAGAAATCTGAGTGTGGGATTTAGAATCATGGAAGGCCTCGGTAGAGCAAGTACATGCGGCTTGGGTTCAGGGCATAGACCCATATCCGAAGCAAGGCAAGAGCCAGTTCACCTTACAACAACGCAGCTTCCTACACCGTGGCTGTAGTCCGATTTCTCTCTGAACTCAAGGGCGGCGCAAGCAGAGACAGTTCAAAATATCCGGATAGGGGAAGCACGATCAGGGAAACAGGATTCCTCAAGGCCAAAGACAACCCTGAGCTATATCCCCACCAAGCCATTCTTTTCTTCGAAGATTAGGGAGTAGCTTAAATATGCAGAGTCCATTACGGTATATGGTAGATACTTGGCTATTCTTCTTCCTCTGGCAACCTCCAATACGGAATTGCCTTCAGTCTCGATCTTTCCTTCATGAACGAAAGCACAGAACCAACAATACTGATCATGGCCGTGGTCCCCCCAACAAGGATTGCGAGTATCTGGTCCAGCTCCTGAAACGAAACGTTTGGGGCCGGTCCCAAAAGATCCTTGGGTCCAAACAGGAGTTGGAAAAGGTAGAACAACGTAAAGACACACCCTAAAACCATGATACCAGGCAACACACTCGCAACGAAAAGCGCCAATAGATGACCCACGATTACGAGAACGACGTAAATCGCCCTTAGAATGGCAGAATCGCATTGACCAAGCGCCTCGAGTCTGCCAAAATACGGCGAGCGCGAGTCCGAGGAGGCATACGACAAGACGATAAAAAAGCCGGCCAACAATCCAAAGCACCACATGAAAAGTGCTTGGACCGTCCAGCACTCCGAGTACGAATCATTGGGGCGGAAAGGCGGGGGGACCCAGAGGCCCCGGACGAAGTGCATCAACGCGCTGGGGTAGGCCTGACCGCCGGGGCTGCCGAACCTTCTGAGCCCGAAGGGGGAAATGACAGCGTCCAGCATGGAGTTCGGCGTGCAGAAGCCCTTCGTATGGTCCGGGCAGACGCCTCGCTTCGCAGTCACGGCGATGCCCGCCACGGCCGTGACGAGTGTCGCCAGAACGCGGAAATGCAGGCGCCGCGAAGAGAGCGGCCACCAGTACCACCCGCGGGCCGGCCGGGTCAGCCAGCTGGTGAAGATGACGAAGACGGCCACGCTGATGAAGGTGTCGAGGACGCCCATCGCTGCGCGCACCGTCAAGAGATGGGTCGCTAGGATGGGGTCGTAGCCTGGCGGCACGGCGTCGATGCGCGGCCGCACGAGCACGTCCATGGGGGGACAGCTTCTCGCCCCGCAGCGAGATGTCGCCGATGGCGATCCACACCACGACGAGGGCCAAGATGAGCTCCGTGTCCGCGTGCCAGAGCCAGCGGATCTCGTGCGCTACCCGCCGGTACACAACGGACGGGCTCCAAGGGCGCTGTGTCGGACCGGTTGGCTTTGGCGGTTTGGAATACGGAATGTGCCTGAGCCCGGCGATTACGGCGGCAAGCAGGCCCAGATGCCATGCGGCGAGGACCCCCCACCCATAGTATCCCGAGACGGCAACCTCGGGGTCGAGGAGGGGCTCGAAGTCTGGAGAGGCTGGCTCAGTGAAGGTCGGGGGTTGTTTTAGGGATCACATCATCTCACCGAAGCCCTTCATCTCATACAGGTCGTGAAAGTGCGAGCCTTTCCAGTACTCGTAGAGCGGCTCCTTCATATCCTCTGCACAAAACTTCCCAAACTGGGTAAACACGGCTTGGGCGACTTCATGGCTCTGGTGGTCTCGGCCGGGTTCTGTCTTTGCGCATTGTTCCCACACACACTCCCAGACCTCGGGATAATATGAACGCCATGCATGTTGAGGAATTGGGCAACACGGGGTCGGCACTGTCGAGCTGTACTGTTCTTTGGCGCAGTTGGAGCCCTGGTATGTCCAAGTGTAGTCGGGGCACCCGAGGCACGCGCGAGCACACTCGGGGTATGCATTGTAGTGAGGGTCAATCTGTGCGGCGCCATCGCACTGCAAGGACCCGAAGGTCCAGGGGAATTCGACTATCATGCTGAAGTCTCGGAAGGTGAGAAGCAATGTCGGGGGGGATATCCAGCACAGCCAGGAGTGCGCAGCAGTGTGTATATAGTCGTTGTGGTATGTCGCAGCCTGACTGTAGCCGCGGAGGGATGCACCGCCACCACTACCACCCCTGCCCCGCCTATCAGGAGCAAAATTCCGGACCTCACACGCTCTCACACGCACAGTATGCATTTATTTCCTAGTTTTCCCCGGGATCGAAACCTGACATCCTGAACCACGGGCGTTACCGGCGCATGATGAATAGGGACCGGCGATTGGGGCCGTTGTGACGAGTCGATGTGCTGCTCCGGCAAGGTACATGTATCCGAAGGAGTTGGTTACCCCTACCGAGTTAACCTCCTCGTCCGGGCGTCGGCTGCGAGCCTTCCGGTTCCCCTCTTTCAACGGTCGGTTCCTCGCAATCCGGCGCCCGGCGCCCGGCGCTCGAGCATGCAAACACCAAAAACACGGCCGGAAAACGTGTCGTTGGGGCCCGAGTCCGATTCCCAGCCGACAGCAACCCAAGACCGGGCCAAGCTTCGGGAGGTTGTTGCCAAGCTCATGGGTGCTGTGCAAGAAGAGGATTGGCTCACTCACACTCGTGCTCATCCCATTTGCGGCTTGGTGCGAGGCGCAAGGCGGCTTGGCGGCACTGCCACGATTGGGCAACCTGCCTGCTAAGCTGGGGGCCAACCCACCAAAAATTCCCTTGCCATCCAAAGTGGTGTTTGGGAAATCGGTCAAATGCGTTGCTCGATGAACGATATATCTCGGATAGGTAAGGAAGACAAACGCAGCTTCGATTCTTAGGCGACGAATATGTCTTTCGTTTGCATACTGTCTTAGGTACCTACCTAAGGTTTGCGCCTGAGGCTGGAGGGATGCTCCCCAGCCCATGGCCCAAGATTCGCGTTTTTGGGCACGCTCTGTACTTGGCCACGGAGTGACATTACGCCGCTTATTGCTTCCAAGAGCCAAATTTAGCGAGTGCATGTGCTCGAGGCAGAGCCGCAGGCATTCAATTACTGGGACCGTCACACACTAACTCAGGTAGTAAACCCCTGCGCGTCTGGTCTCGTCTGTCTCGTCTTTCTCATCTTGTCTGGCGGCTCTGGTCTCGCTCTGCATTCTCTTTCTTTTATCTCGTTTTTATCCCCCAGCTCTGCGAGCAGCGCCTTCAAACCCAACCCCCTGGAGCAACAATCTCCAGCATCTCCAAGCAGCCATGTCTTCCCTCGGGGGCTACCAGATTGGCTACACGGCCTTGTCCGCCCTGTATATCACGCCTTTAGCTGTGTTGTGGTTCGTCAGCTTCTGCCTCGCGCGTACGAAACAGGACCCCGCGCGCGTTGGCATCAGCTGGTTGAAGGCAGTGTTTCCCGTCTGGATTTTGTAAGTTGCCAGTGCAGCCCCCTGAGCTCCCTTAAGGACGGCGCAACTAACAGCCCTGACTCCGCGAAAAAAGTGGGTTGCTACTCGTTCTCGCCAGCGGCAGCGTGCAGCTTTGGATGCGGTATGACGAGAACGGTTACTACAGTGACTGGTCGGCCGTGGTGCGAGCTGTTGACCACGTTTCTGCTACGGGCAACTTCCTACTGCAGCTTGCCAGCATCTTCCTCTTCATTACCTTCGTCGAGCTCGCAGGCGGTTACATGTTCTGCCTTAAAAACCCCAACGAGACAAGCCGAACCCATAAATTTGGCCGTATCAGCATCTTGGTATGGAGCGTTGTCCTCTTCGCCATGGTCCTCTCCGTCTTCGCCCTCCGCCACTCGTACGTCGTCAAATACGCGGATGTATATGATCGCTATGACACAGAGGCTAGTTTTAAAGCCCGATTGACCAACACGCGCATGGAACTCGCTGTCAGAATCCTCTTGTGGCTCACTAGCATCCCCATGGTCGGTTTGGCTTCGTTTACCGTCCACAAGACCAAGAATCACCAGCTCCTCCGCAGTGTATGGCCCCCTTCTCCCCTGCCCATGGTCGAGCAAATACTTAGTATTTCACAGGGCTCTATCATCTTTCTGGTGGCTACCATCCTCGACCTCATCCGCCATCTCATCAACATGGCCATCTTTGCGGAAGGCTACGTCGACCTGGCCGTCACCTTCATTGTCGAGCCCTTCTTCAACTTCACTCTCATGTTCGTCGTGCTCGTCATGCTCTTCGCTCTGGCCATTCGCAAGGCCACCGGCCTGTGGTCCAAACCACAGCCGGACTGGGCCTATCCGACGGTGACGTTCGTCCATACTATGCCATACCCCCCGGGGCAAGTGCCCGTAGGCATGGTACCGGGACAGCCGCAGTATATGCCGCAGCAGCAGCCGATGCAGGGCGTGCCGGCGTATCTCCAGGTTGCACAGCAGCAACAGGGGCAACAGCAAGGATATTACTACTACCCCCAGCCGACACAGCAACAACCTCAACAGATGCAGCAACAACCTCAGCAGATGCAGCAACAGCAGCAGCAGCAGCAGCCCCAACAACCTCAGCCGGTATACCAGCAACAAACCCAGGAGCAGCCAAAGACAACTGAGAACGTCTAAGGCTATGCGCTTTCACGATGACGGATGATGGGTTTTGGGTCGAGCAAGGGCGATACTAATTAGGCAAGGGAAGGGAGCGATATATAAGAATGATGAGATGGACATGAACATTTGCTTTACCAGGATCAGGTCTTTTTCTTACACTTAACTCGAGATACCAAATGGATTGTTTTGCTTTTCTTCCAAAGTTGGATAAATCCCGGTCCCAGTCGTTGACACAACCACCGGCGCTGCAAGATCAGTTAGCCTAAGTCGGTGGTACTTTTCAAAAGACTAGGATGGATTTCGTGGATTTGGAGTGTCGATGCAGAGCTGCCCAACAGCGCGGGAAGCCAACCTCTGGGACAATGGCCTGTATTTGTATCTCACCAGACGTCTCCCCTGAGCTGTGGCCGAGAGCGAAAGGCAGAACAGATGTTGCCTGAAGTCCATCGGCCTGGCAAACATTCTTCCGCCCAGGCCGAGGATAAGTGTTTTGCCGGCCTTGTGCATGACCACAAACTAGCCGGTTTAACAGCGGCAACAGCCCGGCAAACGGCGGCGGCAACTACCAGGCGAGGCATGGCGAGGCAGACTCCGGTTGGCATGATGTCTCATATCTCGGCACGGCTTTTGAGCCGCAGCGCAACCGGGATGGAGGGGGGGCGCCACAGTGTATGGCATGCCGCAAGAAGCATGCACCGACGGGGCACAGCGCAGAGAGACATGAGCGGACGAAACAACAGTGACAATAGCACAAAGTTACGAAAGAGAGGTGCTCTACCACGCTCGAAATAACATGCCATATACAAGCATACCCAAACCGCCCAAGTTCACCTCGACCACAGCCGGCCCCAAAAGAGGAACCCGCCCCCCGCCCCCCCCTTGTATTCCTGTCACTTGTGGATAAGGATGGGGGTTCCCTACGGAATGTGTGTATGCAACATGGGACACGACTCAGGAGGGCGGTGTTCTGGAGTGAGCTGCATCTCAAGGGGGGAGGCATTGGGAAGAGCTGGATGTCTACCGAAAATCAAAGAATTGTGTGGCCGGTAGTGATAGCCAGGAGACATAGGGGAATTTTGTGATTTGTCGGCACAGACAGGTAAAAAGTCTGGATGTGACAGTGAGACGTGTCGGACGCAGCACCCCCGCAAACCCACGAAGGGATCCGT